TGAGGTGTCGCAGCAGCTGGAGGGACTGGTAGTTCGAGCGAGCCGGGGGGCTGGCGTGTCCCTGGTGCCACGTCATGCCGCAGCCTGACAAGGGAAGGACACAGCCCTGGGGGGCTTGGCCTCCTGCAGCCATCACCGCCCCGGGGCTGCTGGTGCCAGCAGGAGACCTGCCCGGCCAAGGAGGGCTCTCGCCTGGGCTTCCTTGTGCGTCATGTCTGCAGGGGCCTGCCTGGAGTCTCCGGCTCGGGGCAGCATCTCTGTGCATCTCCAAGGGCTGAGGTAACCCCATGCTGCTCCTTGCTTGGCTGAGGCAAGGCATTGGCTGCAGAGCTGCTGTGGCATCTACTCTGCTCCTCTGCCCAGCACCTGGTGGCCTTTGGCAGGTAAACCCTCCCCAGACTCCTAATGTTGTGTTCCTTCATGTCAGAGAAGATCTGCTCCTGGAGCCCAAAACCAGCACTAGAAAGCCACACTGCTGCTGTAAGGGTAGAAGCTCTTTTCCAGCCAGAGCTGCTTGCCTTGCTGCCACTGTGCTCCATCTCCTGGGTCAGGATACCCGTTTTGCAGCTGGCTTGGTTGGGGCTGCAGCACCCTGTCCTTGAGCTGCAAGGTGTGCTCTGTGCAGAGCAGGTGCTGCACTGGGCTGATGGAGGGCACGGCTAATTGTGTTACTTCTGCAAAGTCACCAGCTGGTAATGAGCAGCATTTTCCCAAGGCATCCCATTGCTCCAGTGCGGTGTCTCATGGCTGGGAGGAGGAATCACCTCTCCAGAGCTGTCCCCATATGGCTGTGGGCCTGGTGGGTGAGAGCACCCAAGAGGATGAGCTTGGGCAAGTTGGGCTACAGCTGCTCGCAGGGCCCTTGTTGCAGTTCCCACCTTCCCAAACCAACGCTGTGTTGAGGATGCTGCTTTAGGAGGAGGGGGAAGGTGGACTGGACCGTGTGGAGCAGCTTTGTGAACTGCTGCTAGAATGGAAACCACAGCTGGGTTTGAGTGAGGCTGGGTAGCTGCTACTTCACTGTTTCCTGGTGGTGTGATCCTGCCCTGGTCTGTCCAACCCAGCCGTGTTGTCCTGCAGCGTGGTATTGCTCGCAGGCCTGATTTTGGGGTGCCAGGCTGCCTGGGTCTGTGGCTTGCTCTGTTACAGCAGCAGTGCTGGGGGGCTGCAGGGTGGCAGCTGGGCCAGACAGACAAGAAACACTTGTACAGTTCTGCGGCCGTGACTGTTATCTCTGGATTTCCCCTCGTGAGCTGGAGTCAGATCTCTGAGGTTATGGATGCAGCCGGGCTTGTCCCTGATTTGAGAAGGAGGAGCCTCAGAGGGTTTGATCAAGGACATTAGAGATGGGTTGCTGGTTGTTTGCAAGTGGAAGGGGGTCTGGACGTGCTGCAGGTGGTGCTTGCTGCTGTGTCCCGATGCTCCTCTTCGTGGTGCATGTTCTCTTTTGAAGCCAGTTCTGTTTGCATTTCAGTAACAAGTTAAATAGGAAATGAGGAGGAATGAGCTTCTGCTGTGGAGCTGTTGCTTGTGGAGCAGACTGTGGAATTGCTTGGGAAGAGGAAGTAAGACATTTCCCAGAGACAATTTCCCCAAATCTGAACTGATGTTAAATTATTTTATTAGTTTTAAAGGTTGAGACTCTAGTCTTGGCATGGAAGAGTTCCCCCCACCCCTCCAGTGAGTCAGTGGTTTGTCCATCCGCGTGGCTGAGGGCTTGGCATGGAAACCCCCCGTTTCCCAGGGGAAGGTGGGTCAGGAGCAATCCTGGCTGTCCCACCACCCTCTGGGGCTCTGGGCTGTGTGCCTTGTTTCACAGGCTGTCGGGCAGGAGCGTGGCCAGGGAGCAAAGGAAAGGCAGAGAGGGGCGTGGGGCCCTCAGCTCCTGCTCTCGCCAGGCTGCGATGCCCACCGGTCACCGCGGGGGTGGTGGCAGGGGGCTGTGGCTCGCAGGGGGTCGGGTCTGCAGGGCCCCTCTGGCCTCACTGTGTAGCTGAGGGAGAAGACATCACCACGGTTCTGGTGACTCTGCCACCACCGGACAAAGGGACACCTGGCCAGGGGGGTTTTGCTTTGGAGGAAGCTGTTGCCCTCGTGCTGCAGAGGGAGTTTGGCCTTGCTTTAGCTTGGATGCTTCACCACAATCATGTTTTGTGCTTCTTTTATAATTTGTTTTAGTTTGAGTGGTGCGGTCGGTCGGTGTGCTCCTGGGAGCATGGACCCATCTTGCAGTTCCCGAGGCACCAGCCCGGCCGGGGGGACCCTGGCGCTTTCGGAAGGGCAGGAGAGGCCATGGGACC